TTGTCGGATGAAAACATGGCGGCCTCCTCTCTGTACAGATGCACCGGGGCCGTGGCGCTCAAGGTAACTGTCAGGACACAATGCAGGTAGAGGAGTGGAGCAGAGCAGGCAGCTGGCCTTGGGGCCCTTCCTGCCTGGTGCCTGACACCTGTCCTTGGTTGTGGGAGAAGAACAGGAGACAGTGGCAGTGGCAATGCCCAGTTTAGGCGGAGCAGGGGGGCTTCCTGCCCTGCTGTGGCTCAGGGCTCTGCTGGGCCCTGGGCTTTTTCTGTACTAGGTGGAAAATATTTACACCAGGAGAATATAAAAAAAATATTTTTTTAGTAGACCAACTCAAATAGTTTGAAAAATTCTTTTTTGCAAGCTTTTGGGTACAAACATCCTTTTTCAGGCTGAGGAAGCATCTGCAGTTGGTCTATACTTTTCCTGGATCCCAAAGAACCTGATCCGCTGATGTGCTTAAAACAACAAGGCTACAACCTATACCCCTGTAAAAAATATGTGCGCTCCAGTTTCTCCCCAAAGTGTTGAATTTGTTGCTACCCCCCACAGAATTTCAGCTAGCAGCACCCTGGCAGGAGGTGTTAGCCAGGCTCGCTCCCCAGACAGCCCTTCCCAGCAGAGCCAGGGGTCAGCACCAGGTCGGGTCCACACCAGAGAGGAAAGGATTAGCTGTCAGCTTCATTTGTGAGCTGGCTTCCTAGCTGGGCTGAAGAGATGTAGGTTGTTGATGTTTTGTTTTTTGTTTCAGTGGCTTTTTGGGGTTTTTTGAAAACTATTTCACATATAAGCTCTCACTGGCTTCTCTCCAGCCAGCTGCTGCTCTTTCCACAGAATAACACAAAAGTGGCTACAAGGACCCCAGGTCTTGTTCCTCAAAACCTAAATTGACTGCTGGGTATTAGTAGGGTTTGGACTGGGGAGTGTGTGTGTGGGGGTGGACTGGTGCATTTGCACCCCCCTTTGATTCCTGTTCTTTCATTCACTGAGAAGTGAGTAGAAGCAAAAGTATTTATTTTAGTCAAGTGTTTGGTATTATTTCATTGTTGCTTTTGTATTGTTTTTATTTTGGATTTTAAACCACATTTCCAGACCCATTTCATTGTCACTTCCTGCAACTTCATTGGTGTCAAAGGTCACGTGACACCACTTCCTGATGTGATACCGCTTCCTGTGAGGTCTTTGAATATTGCTCGCCAGCCCACTGGGTGATAAAAAGTTCATAATCCAACCCCACATTCAAAAAGGTTGGACCCCCCTGTTCTAAGGTTTGCTTGTGATGGAAGTTTTTTTGGTAATTTCTTACTTTGTTGCTCTAGTTGCTGAAAGTGCCAACCCAGCCTTTTTTTTTTTTCAGATGTTCACTTGGGGAAACAGCAAACTGCTTTCCTGCGGTAATGTTCACCATTAGGAGGTGCTTCTTAGTTTTAACCACAGTGCTGAATTTTGGAAGTAACTACTACTTATGAAAGCACATTCTTATTACATTAATTCAGCTGTATGCTTCTGACTCCATTAGTCAGAAAGAAGCAATGTTTCTTAATGTATTTTCTTTCATTTTTCCCTCAAAGTATAAGTACACTGCTGACATGTAAAAGGTTGTTTCAGACATTTTCCACAGTTTGTTAGAGCACAGGCTTTTCTCTAGCAAAATTCTGATGCCAGCTTAAAGTTGCAATTAATGGAAGAAATCCTGCTCTTGGGCTAACATACAGCATGTCTTTTAATCTTCATTTGAACACTGGACCATATTGGAATGTGGTCATGAGGCATTATCTGTGTTATGATTCCTAACTGCCAGGTTGATTGAAGAATGTATCCTGCTGTGCACCAAAATTTGTGCCGCAGAATCTGCTCTTCAGTGTAAAAACAACTATTAAGTTTCTGGTCCTCCTGGGTATGGAGGTAAACTGAAGTGTTAAACTAATGTGAAATTATGTAGTGCTATCTGCTTGCATCTGCAGATCCCTCCTGTGTGCGAGTAACCTGTAACCTGGCTGATAGTGACTTTTGAAGTAATTAGTGGGAAATACTTTCTCTAGTTTGTGCATTTGATAGTACATTGTGTCAGCTAATTTATTTATTCCTCTGTGTGGTTGGTGACAGATCCTGTGGCACTGGGGTCCTTGAGGGCAGAGGAACTCAGTGTCCAAGATGAGTGGTCGTT